TGGATAATCTTGCAAAAACAAACACAATCAAAAGCACAAAACCTCACTCTCAGCAATCTTTAAAACCCAGCTGTCATCCCTGCACAACTCCACCAAACTGCTCACCAGATTTCATAGGAGGGGGTGGGAGGTGCTCAAGAGATAAGCCCTCCCGCCTTCCCCACCCCATTCTGCAGGGGCACGGACCCAAGATTAGCCCAGGGGCCAGAATGAACAGAGAAGTGGTACCCCACACAGCCCAGAGTAGCCAAGGTATCTAATACTTTGGGCTTCTGCTTCCTGTTCCAGGAGTCCATGCTCGAGAGCAGCTGGTGGGGGGACCTTGCTAGAAGAGTGGGGATCACCCTGGGGAAGTCCAGGGTCTCAGCTGCCCTTCTTCAGACTGAAGAGCTCCTCTCCATGTTCCCTTTGGAGCATGCACTCTGTGTCTCAGCCACGCTCCCTCCCTGAGTTGCTGGGATTTATTTCCGGAGATGTTTCGCCCACTCTGCCTGACGTCTGTGAGAAGCTGGGTGCTTAGGGAGTCCTCACCATCCGCCCACCTCCACCATCAGCCAGGCAGCCCCCAAGCGGTTCAATTCCCAGACCAGGAAAATCAGCCCAAGCTCCCTCCCACACCTGCAAATCTTCTGCCAAGTGGCTGGAGATTCTCTTACCTCCCCGAAAGCAAGGGCACTATAATGTCTATCCCCCACCCACAGACATACCTTGGCTTGAAGAGGCCTTGAAATCTGGGGATGGAGGATGAGAAGGCTGGATTAAAGTTCCTTTCCCGCAAACCCTCTCTACACACACATTTTGGCAGCATCTATGAAAATGTGAAATACACATACCCTTTGACACAATGATTACATACCTAAGACATATGTGCAAGGAGGTCATCGCTGTGGACACACTGTGGATTTAACAGAGGATTTAATTAAGAAATGATGGCATAGGGGCTCCTGGGTGGCTCAGATGGTTAAGCGTCTGCCTTCGGCTCAGGTCATGATCCCAGGGTCCTGGGATCGAGCCCCGCATCGGGCTCCTGGCTCAGCGAGGAGCCTGCTTCTCCCTCTCCCTCTGCCTCTCTCCCTGCTCATGCTTTCTTTCTCTCTCTCTCTCTGTATCTCTGTGTCTCAAATGAATAAATAAAATCTTAAAAAAAAAAAGAAATGATGGCATATTCAGATGGTGGAATCTCACGTGGTCATCAAAAAGAACAAGAAAAACCCATATGTCCCATCATTGAATAATGCCCAAGATATAAATGAGAAAAGCAAAACTCTACCACCATATGCCTCCTATAATTCCCTGTGTGTTGGATATTAATACATACCTCTTTTGTATATGCAGAGAAAAAAAATATCTGAAAGATTATATATAAAAACCTGTCCCCGACATTTAGCTAGCTCAGAAATTTAGATTATGGGGTTCTCCATTTTCTAAATTTCTTTACAAAAAGATCTGTTACTTTTATAATCAGGCGGGGAGGGGGGGTGGACAGAGAAAAAAGAAAACACTTTTTTTTTTGTAAAGGAAGGAAGAACAAATCCCCTCCTCTTGTTTAGCCAGGGGAGGAGGTCCCATGACACCCACCCACAAACTCCCCAGCTGATGGCCTTGGAAGTGATGTGTGGCTACAGCCTGCCCACGCTTTACAGCCCAGTGCTGGCCTGGGCCTCCCTTACTGTCTTCACTCCCTCTGCTCCTACTGGCCTCCATTCACAAAAGGCCTGTTTTAGAGAACACACTGTCCTGTGCATGCCCCAGTGCCTCAGTGGAAGTCTGTGCTTCCCAGGCCCCTGTGGAGGAGTCCATCTCAAGCAAGACTTGGGATGACATGTGGTCAGTGGGAAAGGAGGGTGGGGACTTCTGGCCAGATTTAAGGCCAGAGTTCTGGACTTCAGAGATAAAGCTCCAACTCCTCAGGAAGGGGAGCAGGGGAGCGGAAAGCTGGCCTTTGAACTAATCAGGGAGGGGACGCAGGGAGGGAAGGAGAGCGGGAAGGGGCAGTGGGAGCTCTGAATTGCTAGACTTGTGGCCCATCTCCTATCTGTCTGGCCCTGGGAGTACAAAAAGCCAGCCTGGGAGGAAGGATCTGGATGTGCCACTAAGTAGCTATGTGTTCTTGGGCAAGTTGCTGCATCCTCTGGGCCTTAGAGACTTCTTTCCTTCCTCTTTGTTTTCTCTCTGCCTGGAGCACTCACAGCACAGGATGACTGGAGAGGGCAGAGGAGGTGAGGGACCACTGCCATATTTGCTGGGGGATGGGCAAGGCCCCCAGGGCAAGTGGGGTCCACCTGGATGTTACCAACCAGCTTGTGCAAGGAGAGGAGGTGGCTGGTGGGGGAAGGGCAGCTCAGAGGGAGCCTTCCACCCTACCCACAGCCCCCCACCACCAGCCCCTAACAACCACTCCTGGCCCCCTGAGACCCTCTGCCCTCAGCATCTCCTCAACATCCATCTCAGGGCCTCAAAGAAATTCTACTTGATAAAGAAGCCGGGACAAGGAAAATACAGCCTACCTCCAACCCTGATCCCACCCCCATTCCAAGCCTGTGGTCAGAGCTCAGCATGCGGAATCCCTGGGGCAGGGGCGCCCAGGTGACTCAGTTGGTTAAGTGTCTGAGTCTTGGGGGCACCTGGGTGGCTCAGTTGGTTAAACAACTGCCTTCAGCTCAGGTCATGATCCTGGAGTCCCGGGATGGGATGAGTCCCACATCTGGCTCCCTGCTAAGCAGGGAGTCTGCTTTTCCCTCTGACCCTCCCCCTCTCATGTGCTCTCTTTCTCTCTCTCTCATTCTCTCTCTCAAATAAATAAATAAAATCTTTATTTAAAAAAAGTGTCTGAATCTTGATTTTGGCTCAGGTCATGATCTCAGGGTCCTGAAATCGAGCCCCACGTGGGGCTCCGTGCTCAGGGGGAAGTAGGCTTGAAAGATTCTCTCCCTCTGCCCCTCCCCCCCCTTAAATAAATAAATAAATCTTAAAAAAAGAAGAAGAAGAATCCCTGTGGCAGGATGGACCGAGGCAAGAGGATTATTCCAAAACTCCTGATCCCCACCCAGCCAGAATGTAGCTTTCTTACCAGAATCTTCCAGGGCTCCCCTCTCCCCACAACCCCTTCAAAGCAGTTGGCTTCTCCATCTCACTCTCTGGCTGCCAACACCCCTTCCTCCACCCCCACCAGCTGGTCAGGCCAGAGGAATGTGGAGAAGAGCTGGGACATTGGCAGTCTCCTGTGAACCATGGTTCCTGCCCAGGGTTGGAGTCTGGGGGAGCAGAAGATGGTTCTAACCAGAGGGGGAGGTCAGGTAGTTGGCAGAGCCAGAACCAGGAGCTGGCCCCATGGAGGCCCCTCTGCAGGGGGAGGGGGTGTGCTCTTCTTCCAATCTGGAGACCTCAGTCCCCCAGGTGACCAGAAATGGAGAAAACATGTCCTTGGAGATTCTGAGACAAAAGGGCATTATTGGGGTGGAGTGAGGAAGAAAGATCTCCCAGCAGGACAGAGGCCCTTCTAGCCAAGTCCTCCCCAGCCTGTTCCTGGGCAGAAGAGGACTCTGCCCTGAGGACTGAGTGAGATGAGTCACAGATGTGCGTAGAGGGGGGCCAGGTAGCATGTGTCCCCAGCAGAACCAGCCCAGCAGCTCTGTCAAGCAGGCCCTGCACTGACGCACACTCGGGCACCCTTCCGGATCGATGCATACCTACCCGCATCCTGCCAGCCATGAAGGGGGACAAATATGAATCAGCCCGGACTCCACAGCAAAACTCAGCTTCTGCTGACCCTAGCTAGGAAGAAGCAAGTTCCTTAGGAAGTCCCCCAGGACAGGATTGCCGGCACCTTCTCTCCCTCCCAAGGTCCTTTATTCGATTCTGGAGTGGGGACTCTGAACCTGCTCTGGATCCCACGTTTGCACAAAGGGTAGGGGTGGGACTGGGGGGCTGAGGGCTGGAAAGAATTGTGCTTGGTTTTTACCCACTACCCCCATCCAGATTAGGAGGATCTGATTTTTCATCATCTCAGACTCAGCCGGCCCGGGGTGTCGGTGGAGGGGGCAGACTTGAAAGTCTGGGCAGAGGCCCTCTGGACCTCACAACATTAGCATTTTATTCTTTTTTTTTTTTTTTTAAAGATTGTATTTATTTCAGAGAGAGAGCATGAGCAGGGGGAGGAGCAAAGGGAGAGGGAGAAGCAGACTCCCTGCTAAGCGGGGAGCCCATGACAGGGCTGGATCCCGGACCCTGAGATCATGACCTGAGCTAAAGGCAGACGCTTAACCAACCGAGCCACCCAGGTGCCCCTAGCATATTATTCTTATTACCGCTATTGGTGGCCTACATCTTCCCCCTCCTCCCCTGGAGCGGGCAGTGGATGTCTAGTAGTCCACACTCCCACCAGGCACAAACCGCGACTGCTATTACAGCCCCTCTTGTGGGAACAGCCACCATTCCCAGAGCTGGACAACTCACAGCTTAGTCACCAGGCCCGGGCTGGCTCAATCCAGCCCAGACCTCCCCAGCACCAGTCCCTGCCGCTGCTGCCAGTGAGCTGTGGTCAGCAGGATTCAGCACATGGAGATGGCTGAAAGCCAGGAAGGAATTACTTTCCATATTCACAGGATCCCCCAAGGTGGAAAAAAAAAACAGATCAGCCTGAGTGCCGAGGAGTGGGGGAGGATGAGAACAGAATGGCTCCTTGAGGACTTACCTATATAAACCTAAGAAAGTGTCCCAAGGACCAGCTGGTATGAGGGGCAAGTAAGAGCCAGGGGATGAGGGGAGGGGGGAGGAAGCAGGAGAAAGAAGGGACACCCCCCCAAAAAACCTGCAGAAATCAGGTAATAGCTTGGGAGAGGGCAATTTCAACTCCATCTGTAATTTCCACCAGCCATCCCGTGTTTCCTTTGCAAATTCAGCTTCAAGATAAAACTCCCCCCACCCATTCCTGCCACCCATACAGAAATCTGGGACTACTCCTGGGGCTGGGTAAGAAAATGCCAGACCAAGGTCAGAGCTACAGTATCATCAGTCTTTAATAACTTATAGGCAAATGCTAAAAAATAGTTAATAATACTACAGAGGACACACACAGCTTATAAAAACAGTTGTGGATCTACAAATGTGGGGAAGGGTTCCTGGCACTTTCACACAGACACAAAAATAAAGACTATTGTGACTAGCATCCTTAGAAAAGCAGCCTGGGGGACACCCCAGTTGGGGGGCTGGAGGTGGGGAGACAGTCCTCGTTCATCCCAAATGCATTCTCCAAACAACCTTCTTTTGCTCCAAACAACCTTCTTTTGCTCCAAAACACATCTCATCAACAAGCCAGAGAAGAAAAAAAGAAACAGGGTCGAGGTAGAGTCACAGCTTACATTTAAGCCCCCCCAGTCCTGCAGCCCTCTTTTCTCCAGAGGTGGGGATGAGGGAGGGAGAGGAGAAGACATCCCATCTCCCCTCCCCTCCCCAATGCTGCACTAGAACAGGACCCCCAGTGTGCTCCTCGGTCCTTCATTGAGGCGGACAGGTCCCGCACCCCAGAGCTGAGGGAGGGGCCACAGGCTCCGCCTGGCTGTCCAGGTGTACAGACCCCTACTGGTGAGAAGGGGACAGCCTCGGGTCACCGTCTCTTCTTGCCTACCCGGGCTGCCTTCTTCCTCTTGAGGATCATCTCGTACAGGCGCTCCAGGCCCGGCTGCAGGCCCAGCCCGTCCACAGCACTGCAGCCCTGCACATGGGTGAGCGTGGCGGCTGCAAGCTCTCGAACCGAGAGCCTCTTCTCAACCTCTGCAGCGCTCAGTGCCCCAGGCTGATCCTGCTTATTGGCCAGCACGAGCACAGGCACGCCCTGGTTGTCCGAAGCCCGGCTGATTCGGTGTAGCTCCACCTTGGCCTCCTCCAGGCGCTCAGCCTCGGCAGCATCCACCACGAACACCAGCCCGTCTGTCCGACGTGTGTAAGAGCGCCACAGTGGTCGCAGCTTCTCTTGCCCCCCGACATCCCACACTTGGAAGGTGATGCCACGGGACCCTCCCAGGGGCACCCGGATCTTCTCTGTGTTGAACCCTTTGGTGGGTACGCTCTGGACAAACTCCTTGAACTTGAGGCGGTAAAGGAGCGAGGTCTTTCCAGCAGAGTCCAGCCCAACGACCACGACATGCAGGGCCTGGAAGTGGGGCAAGAAAGAGGAGGCAGTGGGAGCCATCTCAGTCAAGTGGTTCCCCATGGTGAGCTCCAGCTAAGGTGCAGGTCAGGGGGTACACAGGAGAGGCAGGAAGGTGGCCTTGAACTGCAGGCTTTGGGGACCGCGGCTGGGTTATCTGAACGGGAAAAAGTCATGGGAGAAAAAAAGGAGACGTTTAAAAATAAACATGAAATGTGCAACTTCTAGATCCTGTCCTAAATCAGTCGCCCATCCTTCCTTTTTAAAATTCCAGTTTTTGTTTTGTTTTTTAAACAGCTCCAAGTGTAACAGAGGCGCTCCCCGTTTTCAGGGGAGACGAGATCTACAGAGACCCCCGGGGCCTGGACACAGGTTGGGGGGTGAGGCTTTGATCTGGAGATGGTCGGCTTCCCGCGCCTCTTCTCCGAGCTCGCGGCGCGGTCGCAGACGCAGAGACCCTCATTCCCCACGCGAGAATCCTCACAGGAAGGAGCAGGTCGGGCAGCGCCCCCCAATTAAGTTAGGGTACGGGCGCTCAGACGGGAGAGTAAGGCCCGCTCCCGCCTGCCCTCCAACGTCCGCAAGCGGTTGACACGACCCTCCTTAACACCGCGACCCCCTTCCCACTGTCCCGTGACACTTCGCCTTGCCCGGATCGCCGACTCCGGCTCCCCGCACCGGAGCCACCTCAGCTCCGCCTGAACAGCCCCTTTACCTTCCGGCAGCCGCACTCTCCCCAGGCCAGCCACCCGAGCCTCCACGCGAAACGGCACGCCCGCCCCCAGCGCGGGCCGCCGCCGCCACCACCGCCGGCGCTGCTGCCACTGCGGAGCAGGCGCCGCGACTCCGCCTTAAAAAGCCGCGCGTAACGTCACGCAGCGCGGGCCAATGAGCAGTCCCGCGGCGGCGGGGAGGGGAGGGGCGGGGCGGGGCGGGGCCTGGAGATACGTGCCCGGCGACCCCCGACAACCCAGCGATGGACGTGTGCTCGGTCAGTGAACGTTTTATTTGATCTTTTCTCCCATAGTCTAATATTTGGAGGTAAACTCGGGATGGAAAGTGAGAGGGACAGACGTGGCAGCGTTTGACTTGGAGAGGTGAAGAGCTTCGTAGTCCGCACGGCGGCATCCTCCTCCCCCCACCCCCCGCCCACCCCGAGATAGCCACCCATGTACACACTGCCCCCGCCAGGGTCTGCTGGAGAGATGCTCACAAATCTTACTCCTTTATCTTTCCTAAGTCAGTGTTCAAACCTGTGTAACCCCGGAACCTCATGAAACAGCCTAAGCCTAAGCCCATTACCCCATTGATCCTCACAGCAGCCTGTAAGGTAGGGACTGGTGCTGTCTGCATTCTACAGGGGAGGAAAGCTCCGAAGGGTTCAATGACTTGTCTAAGGTCACCTAGCCAGGAAGTGGCTGAGCAAGGATCTGTCTGAATCCGGTGTCTGGGCCCCTGACGGCATAGCTATCCCTCCTCTCTCATCGGGAAGGCCATAGGGTTAGGCATCCTCAGCAGAAATCCCTCAACTGCTGGTTAGGGTGCCGACCAGAAGCAGACACTCCAAGGCCCTCCCTTGTTCAAATAGGTAAAGAGAGAATTCTTCACTCCTCAGGACTTTGATTGACCTCATTCCTACTGTGTGCTCTGCCAGAGAGACTCTGCAGATATAGAGGATGCGGAGGCCACAGGGCCTGGCCTCAAAGGGCTTAAACTCTAGTGAAAAAAACAAGACTGGCCACTGACAGGGAACATTGGGCCTTTGTAAACCTGAGATAAGTCCTCGTAGGACTTCAGAGGAAGGAGAGAAGGTGTGAACTGGAAGCTTCTGGAAAGTTTTCTGTAAGTTAATGAGTCCTGTGTAGGATTGGTTAGGAGGGGGAGAGGACTGAGTGGCATCTCCCCAGCCATTGCAGCCTGATACGATCTGGGCAGCCCTGAAGAGGAGGAGATGTCACAAAAGGACAGTGTGACCAAAAAGATATCAGTGATTACCTGCAGGGGGAGGTAAGTAAAATTGAAGGAAGGGAGGAGGATCAAAGGAGAATAAGATCATAACCCTATTATTTCCTTTTTTACAAGGAGGCTGGATTCTTACATTTACTGTGTAATTCAGTATTAACCCTTTTTAAAGGTTATATTTGAGGGGGATGGGGAAAAGAGTAGGGGAAGTCACTGCTAGACAGGAGGGCCTAGCCCTTTCCTGCCCACTGGCCTCCCATCCGTTTAGCATCAGTCTGCCTTGCCACCTCCTGCTTCCCCTCCCTCCTCTAAAACCAGCCACCTGGTTTCCCCAGCAATGCAAGGAGCCTCTTTGAATCCCCAAAGACATAAAGACCTTAGGAAATTAGTGTTACACTCCATATTGGGGCGGTGGCAGATTGCCACAGGAGCTAAGACACAGAGGTGGCCTGTGTTAGAGGGAAAGACAGCAGGCCACGAAGTTGGAAACTACTACTGTGTTGAGTGGCCACTGCGTGCCAGGCTCTGGTCTGAGAACTCTGCATACTTTTCCTTTTTGATTTTTTTTTAGTTTTAATTTTTTTAAAGTAAGCTCTACACCCAACGTGGGGCCTGAACTCACGACCCCAAGATCAAGAGCCACGTGTCCCACCCACCGAGCCAGCCAGGCACCCCATACTTACAAGAAGTAAGTATGGTTATTCCAGAAAGAAAGAAGCACTGAAAAGTTAGGTAATTTGTCCAAGGTGAGTCTGCTAGAAATTGGCCAAACTTGGCATTGAGCAAATGTTACAACACTGTGAAACTGAAAACACACAGTAATGAGAAACACAGATTGTCTCGTGTTTCTTCTGCAACCTTTGAAACTTCCTGGGCCTCCCAACCGAGAGGGAAATTGTCACTTGATTATCTGATAAAAGCAATAAAACTGGCAATCCTACCCCACCCTTCATCTTTCTGGTTTGCCAGAGGTGTTGATGAACAAATGGGGAGGAAGAGGTGGGGCAGGGAGAGGTGAGGGAAGGGGCCCAGCTCCTCAGGGCAGCACTAGGCTGTGGGCTTACTGCAATTTGTCCCCTTTAAATGGAAACTCCAGTTCCCCCCCCCACACACACACACACAAACACACATACCCTGTCCCCAGGGAGCCTTCCTCCATTAATGACCATGTTCCTTCCTGGCAACCTCACCTCTGCAGCCCTTTCTCTCCACAAGATCACAGCCCAGGACCTCCTGTATTGGGGGATTCAATGCAGAGAACATTTGAACATTTGTACATTGAACAATCATATATGGAGTGCCTACTAGGTTCTGAGCATACAGCCCTGAGTGAGATGGATAAGGACCTGCCCTCTTGGAGTGTACATTCTAGAGGGGAGAGACAGGCAATGAATAAAGAAGATGGTTTCAGATGGTGATACTTGCCATCAATGGAAATAAAACAGGGAGATGTGTCAGAGAGAAACTTGGGAAAGAAACTACTTCAGACTACAGGGAGCAGGCTGCTCAGGAAGGCTTCTCCAATAGGTGACATTAGAGCCAAGGCTTAAGTGACAGGGGTTAGGTCAGCGTTCAAAACAGAATGACTAGCTGGGAGCTACCCGCTTCCTTCTGTGGGCTCCCCCACGTGGATGAGATTCCAGCTGCTATGTCATCGTTCGTCCCCAGAGCTGTCTCCCCACCAGACGAAGCCCTGAGCCCAGGAGCTGGTTCCTGTCATCTACAGTTCCAAGGTGCCCAGCGCTGTGCCTGGCACACAACAGACAGTCAGGAAATCTTTCATAAATTCATGGATGCATGACAAAATGATTAAATGTACTGAGGGGTGTCCCTGAGTATGAGAACCAAACATCTATCCTTAGCCTGGGAGATTCCTGGTCTGGGGTTCCTCAGCCCTTGAGGGTTCTGTTGATACTGGGTTAGCCAGGAATGCCTATAAAACCCTGCATTTCTGGGCAAGGTCTAGGTAGTATTGAACTCTTGGGTCTTTTTTGAGGATGAGGAACTTCTTAGAGGAGGAAAAACAGAGGCCAGGGGTGAGGATGACACTGGAGAGAGAGGCCCCCGTCAAGGCCTGGTGTGCTGAAACCCTGGGCGGAGAGTCAGGGTGAGTCCTGTTCCTCACCAGTACACTGGCTTGGAAAAGTCACTTCGCCCCCCCAGGGCTTAGGCGATTCCAGGTCCCGTCCCCCACCAACAGTCCATACTCAGGAATAGCCGAGGATAGAAGATGAAGGAGCTCACCAAGGAAGAGGCTGAGAACATCTTTGTCTCCACAGTACCCTAAACAAATACCTGTCTCAGCGCACAAATGAAGGGAGGAAAGGAGTCTGCAGGAGTGAGCAGTGAGGGAGGGAAGCCAAAGAAGCAGCAAGCAGCTTGGGAATCACAAAGACCCGTCTGTCTATCTTTCTTTCTTTCTTTCTTTCTTTTTCTTTCTTTCTTTCTTT